GATGGATGGATGGATGGATGTCTGTATCATCTCCAACACTCATTCTTTACCGAAACCAAAAACTGCAGTATTATCTGAAAACAGAGCACATTTAAAAAGTCCCGACACATTTACTAAATCATTTACATTATAAAATAAATAACTTTGGTCCAAGTACAGAACCCTGAGGTGCTCCACAAGTGATGTTATGGAGTTCAGATCTTACATCAATTATTTGTGCAAACTGTTTCCTATCTTTCAAATAGCTGTATACCCACTGTTGTGCTGGTCCTCTAATGCATATTTATGCCGTTAATGTTTTAACAAAGATAAGATGTTTTCCCTGAACTGGGAAGTTTCTCTATTTATGATTTTAAGAAAAAATGTGTCCTATACAAGAACACCTATGATTCTAATTGGAAACATTTTGATGTTTTCCTTCATATTTCCTTCCTTCCTAATATTTTTTCTTTCTTTTTGTCTTCCTTTTTTTCTTCTTTGCCTCCTTATTTCCTTTACCACCTATCTCTTCCTTCCTTCCTTCCTTCCTTCCTTCCCATTCTCTCTTTTTCCCTTTTCTTTTCTTTCTGTCCTTTCTTTAATCCCTTCATTCTTCTCTCCCTCCTTCTAGCTGTGGTGTGATTTGTCAGAATCCAGTGGTGGGGGGTCCAAGCTGGCTTCACCCACTTCCACCTGGCCTAACATCAACATCTGCACCCACCCAGAGGTGAGCACTCATTGGCCCTGTCCCAATACTCACCCTACACCTTACGCCCTTCTTGAAGTGTGCATTCAGCTGAAGTAAGTAAGTAAATTTTATTTATGAAGCACTTTTCTTAGAAATAACTTCATAAAGTGCTGTACAATACAAAATACATAATACAACAATACAATAAAAATATCTTGGTGCCGTCCAGTATTTCCAACTCAAAAAAGGTGTGTCAGCAACAACATTGAGCCAAATGAAAAAAAAAAGACAACAGTAAAAATAAAATACCAACCCATTTACATTTACATATTACATTTACAGAAAAATGTAAATCGAATTTGGACCAAGACAAGAGAAAACTTCAGCTACCACAACAGGCCCTGGGTTCAACAACTTTAGCCAAAAYGTCTAACTAAAAGCTTGTTTGAAAATAGGTTTTTAAGCCCTTTTTGAAAAATTCGACATCATTGATGGAACGTAACTCAAAGGTAAGGGCATTCCAGAGGMTAGGGGCTGCAAACGAAAAAGCCCGGTYGCCACGGGTCCYATAGCGTGTTCGAGGAACGGCTACTAGATTTTGAYCCTGAGAGCGCAAGCAGYGGACTGSWTCRTWTGTGGAGAGCATGTCCCTAACATAGGCAGGTGYCTGGCCTCTTAAGGCTCTAGTGACATAAGGGTTCAAGTGTGCAGGTTACAAATGTGCAAAAAAMYKGRRRAWTKGG